ACCATTTATAAATGGTCTTTGGAGCCTTTTGAGATTAAAGTGTTTTACAAACTTCTACTGATACGCAAACTAGACACAGGGCTCCCTTCATTCACCACTGTAACAGCCAAAAGAAGGGCGAAGAATGGTATCTGCTCATTAGAACACTGCAACACTACACAGAAATTTAGGAGACGACATGAAGGAGAAGAGCACATCTAATTAAAAATGTAAAAAATTTGTGCTATATCCAACTGAAGCTGACAGAATTTGGTCGGGTCACTGGGCTTAACACCCTCCTCTTATGCAAAAAGATCTTTAATGAGTGGTCAGATTCTCTTATCCCACAACCAAAAGATGGCACCTCCAGCAACACAGTTTTTTCAATCTTCATTCTGGGACAACAGCTCAGGCCAAACTCAAGAGGATGAGCACCACTTCCTGGAGAACTAGACTTTCCTGGGAGGTGTTCCATCCACGTGCAGACCTGCCCTCACTCTCAATGCTGTCACTATGAAGCAACAACTGCTAAGTCTATCTTTCATGAGACAGGAATAAAGAAACAATGATGACTTACAGGGAGCCCCACTGCAAAAAACCCTTAACGTCCACCAGTTGGTATTTTTTCATCCAGAACAGGTTATCAGACCATCGCTCCACTGGTTCAAGGTCACTTATTATGGCATCAGTCAGTGTGCTGAACCAGATTACTAGCTATGAGTGCTGCATGAAGCACTCTAGATGCTTTAAAGATGATTTGCAAATATTATTTTAAACAATCTTAATTCTAAGTGTATGTGGTGAATATACACAAGGTCAGGGGAGATTTCAGCACATTTTCAAATAAGGAGAGACTCAAATCAAAAGGCAAGTTACAAACATCCCTGAGTTTTGGAGGAGTTTGGTTTTGGATACAGTTTTGAATTTTTCCATTAACCAATACTTCATAATGACCAAAATCACTTCCTAAATCCAGTCCTTGGATCCTTGATGTTGGGCCCAGTTCTATTCCAGGATTTTACCACCTTTTTCCTTGCTGTCTTTGTAGCCCCAGCATTGCCATGTTCCCTTGGCGAGTCTCCCCAGCATGCACTCAGCTGGAAACGGCAAGCCCACCCCCCAACAGCACTAGAGCCTGCCTACTGGGGTGAAACAGAGCCCTTTTTAAATAGAATTCTTATCCTACCTGGTACTGAACAAGCTTATTCAAAATGAAACGATGGGGAAATATAGAAAATGAACATTTCTCCTGTCAGGAGGCTTCAGCACTATTCACTGTGGAGTGCAATGTTTCCAGCAGCATGCACAGTGGTGTGCCATATGCTGCAGAAGCTAATTATTCAAAGTAAGGGAAGTGGGGGGAAGGAGTCTGATCTTGGTGGGTCTGAAGACCCCTCCTAAAAGTTGATTTAACATATGTTAGAAGTCTGCTGAACTGTTTATATAGGGCTTTCATAGCATAAGTTTCAAACTGATGGGGGTGGGAGGTGGGGTATGCTCATCTCACCTTTACCATAACTATCAATTTATTCCTCTGATAAAATGTGGGAGAGGAATAATTGGTTGTAATGTTTCATTGGCAACAGAAAACATTGCACTGTTCTTTCACTGACACTATCTGAATGGAAAGTTCCATTGTTGATGTGGCTCCAGGGTAATTTAAACGGTTGAACAACAGGACCCGTAGCTGCAAGAGAGAACTCTGGAGTGAATACAGGGCTGAATTCACTCCCAGAGCTCTGCTACCAGGACAGCACTTATACAGTTCAGAAGCTCAGCTGAGGCCCTCAAACAATTTACAGCCTTATCTTTATTCAGGGACCTTTCCTATAGCATATGTATTGCGTCGGACTTTGATCAAAATCCAGTTTAGAAACTTGTTTCCAAAGGAGGCTGTCAATGTTACTTTTTAATTTTTTTTTTTTTTTGGTTTTATTCAACGTTGTACAAGATAATCTCTTAGGAATGTTACAAATCTAACTATTTGGCCCATTTATTTTTGCTCTGTTTCTAATGCAGCAGAAACCATCTCAGCTCCCTTTAGTTTACAATGCTAAGTGGGAAACCTGAGAGGATTCTGCTCCCAGTGGAAGACCTCATGCAATTTCTGATGAGATATTGCATTGTGCTGTACTACCAGAAGTTACTGTAGCAGGGATGTGTTTCTCTTATTCACTTTCAACAGGAGACTACTAGCTCTCCTGTAAGCCCCTTAACTGCAATTTTCAGTCTAACCACAAAAATTCTTCATGACATGTTAGTGTTACTGTGAAATCAGTCAACAGTAGCACTTTAATGCAGAGGTGCACTATCATCACCCAGGATAACTAGCTGGAATGTACACAATTCTGCACTCAGCTAACTGCTGCTAGAAGTCAGCAACTGGAACTTGTGCGTTGTAGAATCATGTGATCGTACTAAAGTGGCTATTTTTGTAATTGCTATTTCTCAGCAATGGATTCAAAATAAAGAAAAGGATCTGAAATCCACAGGACATGTTCCACAATAAAACTGCATATAACAATTTAGAGACCTAATAGATAAATGTTTTTGATCTAAGCAGATGAGGGGAGCTCACTTGAACAAAACCAGAACCACAAAGGATACTAAATTAAATGATACAAATGCATCTCATAGAATCATTTTAAATCACTACATTTATCTTTCCTCCTGGTGATCACCAGTGTTAGACCAGCAAGAAGTTCCCTCAGGAATCACTGTTTACTCCCTCCATCCCAACGTCTGTGACTGGTTGTGGTCCTAGTAATGAATATCCTGAGCCAGTTGCCATTCTCACGGTTCTCATTTGGTAAGGCAAGTTATCACTGATGCATTAGGGCAGCAGTAATTAATTCTATAGTGAATCTAGAAATGGCTTCATGACACTGGGCATTCGGGATGGTTTTTTTTTCTTCTGGAGATATATAAAAAAAGCAAAGCTAGCATCAAGTTCGGCAAACAGAAAGATGCTGTGAAACCCTTTCCATATCCTTCAATAATGCTGGATCAATATAACCTATATAATACTCATGGATAATTTTAAAAAAGGTCCATTTGAAATAAAAAGATATGCATCAGCAATCTGCTGCAAATTACCTTTTTTCTCCATTCGCTTCATATCCATCAATTTCTCCACATTGTTGGGATCATTTAGCCACAGCTGCATGCGGACAAAGGGCTCCCGTCCCTTCAAACTCAATTTGTGCCAGGGCTTTGGGCGAGCCAGAAGGTCTGAGACCGAGCCTTGCGTTAGCCCTAGGATTGTCTCCCCAAACAAACGCTGACCTAATAAGAAATCAAAACTGAAATGTATTCATTCAGCTAAGAGGCAAATCTAAACTAAAAAGATAGAAGAAAACAATGCAAAAGAAAGGCTAGAAGGTGGAAGGGGACCAAATTCTTTGAAGGAGTAACAGAGCTCTGGTGTATATATAATCACTGTCAATTATTCTTACTTTACACTTGCCTGAAAACCCAACAGAAATAAAAGAAAGAATAATAGCTCTTCCCTCAATAAAGTTGGAAATTACTTAGTTTTAGTTTAGTTGTTAGGGTCTGATTCTGGCAAGCAGGGGAGCTCAACACCTTTTGGGATCAGGACCTTATAATGGACATAATGTGCAAAAGTAAAAAGTAATAAGATTTTAAAAAGTAAATCAAGCTTTTAACTAAGCATTCAACTCCAGCAAAATTACTACAGCTACTTAGGTTTTATGAGGGAAGGTACTATAACTGCTTCCTTCCATTAAGATAATACAGACAATTCCATCAGTGAAACGAACGCTAATACTGTACACCTCTCCTGTTCAGCAACATTCACAGACACATGCAAATACTTTCCATTTTATAGTGTTTTTACTACTATTGTAAATGTGCTTTAGCAATTGCAGGCAGGCACAGTTTACGAAATGTAGTAAAAGTGTATTTTTGTAACTTTTATGTAGTACTTGCTCTCAAGAATTCTGTACTTAAGCCCTGTTTCAAATGCTATGCTCTCGCATGGTAGCAATTTGTATGTATTTTGGAACATACATACTTTGAATGTACACATAGTTATTGTTCCATTTATATGTTTAAGATTTAACTTTGCAGTAACTACAAAAAATGTCCACAGCACGCGAAACCAGGCCATACAGTTTGTTTTCTAACAACCTTCACTTAATGCTTTTCTTGAGCAAAACTGTCTTGATATGCAATAGCTTTTGCTACAAAAGAGAAGCCTGCAGTCATCTGAGTCAAACACTGATTTCTGATAGTATTTTAACTACTGTATATTGTAAAGGTAATCTGAAAAGCTTTTTACCTGCTAAGACTTGGCCTCAGGGTCCTGTGTCTGCCCCCCAACAGAGTATTTTCCTTCACGTAATCTAGGTGTAAGGGACGTTACCCAGTGGTAGTCTTGGGTCTATATGACCTAAGCACCTTGAAAATTTTGCACTGGCTCCCTTTTTTAGTTTACTGATTTATTGGGGCAGCGGTGTGTGTGTGTGTGTCTCCTGAGGCATCCAAATGAAGGGGCAGATGGGCAAGGATTCAACAGAAGCTTGAGGGAGCTGTAATAAGAGGTAGTCAGAGGAGGATGTGGTCATGGGTATATAGAGCTGGGGTAGGGTTGCCAGGCGTCTGGTTTTTACCCAGTCAAAAATGGACACTGGCGCCTCTGCTTGGCCCTTAAAAGTCCAGTCAGTGGTGCAGTGGGGCCCGGGGCTAAGGCAGGCTCCCTACCTGCCCTATCTCCACGTTGCCTCCAAAAGCAGCCACCAGATCCCTGAGACCCCTAGGCGCTGGGTCGGCCAGGGACTGGGAGGCTCCATGTGCTGCCCTGTCCCCCAGCGCCGGCTCCACAACTCCCACTGGCCAGGAACCACGACCAATGGAGCTGCAGGGGACGGCGCCTGTGGGTGCAAAGGCAGCGCGCACTGTGCAGAGCCACCTGGCTGCCCATGTGCCTAGAGGCTTCAGGGACCTGGTGGCTACTTCCTCGGAGCCGCGGTAAGATCTGCTGGGATCCCACACCCTCTCCCACACCCCAACCCCTTGCCCCAGCCCGGAATCCCCTCCTGCATCCTCGGCCCCATCCCAGAGCCCACACCCCCAGCCAGAGCCCTCACCCCTCTGCACCCCAAGCCCCTGCCCCAGCCCATCCCCCCTCCTGCACCCCAAACCCCTCCTCCCCACTCCCATCCCAGAACCCACCACCCCAGCCCAGAGCCCACACCCCTCCTGCACTTTGAACCCCTCAGGCCCAGCCCAGAGCCCTCTCCTGCACCCCAAACCCCTCATCCTTGGGCCTCCCCCAGAGCCTGCACCCCCAGCCCAGGGCCCACACCCCTCTCATACTGCAACCCCATGCCCCAGCCCAGTGAAAGTGAGTGAGGGTGGGGAAGAGTGAGTGATGGAGGGAGGGGGGATGGAGCGAGTGGGGGCGGGGCCGCAGTGAAGGGGCGGGGCCCGCCTGTTCGGTTTTGTGTGATTAGAAAGTTGGCAACTCTAAGCTGGGGAGGGAGAACTCAACATCGAGTAAGCTGGACATGGCCTCTGTGTGCATGTTACTTTGTGTGGAGCTCAATATTACCTAAAGTTGTCCCCCTTCTTGGCTCTTACTGTGGAAATACAGAACCCTAAACTCATACTTTGGCAAGTAAGTAGAAGAAGTAGTGATTTTCAACTACATTGTTTTAAAATACATTCATTTTTCATTTTGTACCCGTCCATGTACAGGTAAACCCTGATTAGCAGAAATTCTGAAAAATCAGACTAAATGCCAGTTTTGGTTCATCTGCATTCCAGAGTATATCTGTACCCTGGTACAGAGTGGGGATGGTTTGAAATAAACCCTCTATTTATCTTTAAAACTGCCAATTAGTTGAAACTTCCAGAATGAGTATTAGCACTGTAACCTATTTACAGTGGTTCCTCTTTAAATCTTTTCAATTGTCTTTGTAACTGAACAACATTCCCTTAGTATTCCCAGCAATCTCTTAGTATGCCCAATACTACGTATGAAAAGTTAGAGGTCACTGCAAATATCACATTAATGTTACGTGGACGGCAAAAGGCAAAACTGAAATGTTTTTATTCCGCTGTGTTTATTCTACTTCCCTAAGTACAACCATAAGGGATCAAATACCTGGTTTGAAAGACTGTCAAACTAATGGGAACCAGATTATAAATCACTACCGGTAGGGAGCAGGTGTATCATACACCATATACTCAAACAGCAATTGAGGAGTTGTATTTTTTTTAAATATAGATTTCAAAGAATTTGCAAAGCCCAGGCCATTTAGTTTGCCCCATCTTTACTGCCATTCGGTAGCCACAAGAGTTAGCTTTTGTATTTAGTGACCTACTTTTGTTGTGACTGTTATGGAAAATTCTTTACGGTATTTTGGCACTTTCTGCAACCCCCCCAAATTTAGGACTTTTTGGTAGCTTGTTACATTTTCTCCCCTCTCTGACAATGTGATGTGCTGCCTCAGTTGGAAAATCCTTATTGTGCTACAAACATCTCCCTGCTGGAAGTGCTAGTACTGGTTGCTAGAATTGTTACTAGTGTTTGAATCCAAGAAAGCCCATGAGGGAAGACCTTCCAAACACAATCCAGTTTAATGAGTCATGTGACCCAAACCAGTTTCACTCTAATGCCCTCTTTAGTGGCTAATGGTTTTTTGAACTACTGAGCCACTAGGAATTGGCTGAGACAGGTTCATGTGGCCCTGCGGCCTAAAACAGAAGCCTCAGCACTGAGTAAATCTGGCACTTCAGCACACTGAGGGCAAAAGGAGACATTTAAACTTGTTCCACACCTAATGCAGAGTTTGGGGCACATTTCCTGGCTCTTCTGCTGCTTTTTAGGCTTGTCAGCCACACTGTAGGAAAACAAAAATCATGGGAAAAAAAAAAAAAGACTAAGTAAAAATGGCATCAAAATAAATGTAAACAAAAATACTTTTCAAACCCTCTCTGGAACACCAGAGGAGGAACAGTACCCAATAGCATTCTGAACAAAAAACGAAGGGCCTGATCCTACAAACCCTTACAACCATGTGTAGAGTTTACTACTGTGAGTAGCTCCATAGAGTAAGCACTCTGGGTCTGACTATACAAACATAAGCACGTGAGACGTTCCCTCAAGTTTAATGGGACTTGCTTTCATGTATGACTTTTTGTAGAGGATCTGCCTAGAATTTTTTTTAATTGAATGTGAGTGACACTAAAAAAAAATAATAATAATAAAAAAAGAGAGTAAAATGGGTCTTACTTTAGTCTAAGATGGTAGCCGCTGTTATTCTGCAACTGACTGAAAAAGGGTCATATAATCTTGTTACAGTAGACTTAGCAGAAGCTGGGTATATTAATGCTTGGAAATGGTTATAATAATTGAGACAGTCTGAACTGTTTAAGCTCCTAGAGAAAGGTTGGCCCTTGGATTGAAAAGGGGATGAGTACAGGGAAGGAATGACCAAAAGCCTCCTCCTCAATCTCTTTTTAAACTCACAGGACAATAGTTTTCTCTAAACTTTAACTCCAAGAGAGGCCTCAATATCTAGATCCCCAACTACACTTTTCGGTTTGAAATGAGCAGCCTCCATACACTTATACTAAGCATTCTTGCCTCATGGTAGATGCTGGCTGCATTAAGTGACATAATCAGAAGTCTAACATTTGTGTACTTGTGGCACCATAGAGACTAACAAATTTATTAGAGTTAAGCTTTTGTGGGCTACAGCCCACTTCTTCGGATGCATACAGAAGAAGTGGGCTGTAGCCCACGAAAGCTTATACTCTAATAAATTCGTTAGTCTCTAAGGTGTCACAAGTACTCCTGTTCTTTTTGCGGATACAGACTAACACGGCTGCTATTCTGAAACCTAACATTTGCGTACGAGTGGTGCTACAATATTCTGCCCTTCTGTACTGCCTTCCACCCGAGAACTTCAAAGTGCTTCACAGACATAAATGCATTAAATCTCCCAATACCTTGTGAGGAAAGAAAGTATGAAACAGACACATAGGAGGAGTTACTGACATATAGGGGTCACAGATTAAGCCACTGGCAGAGTTCGGAGTATAACCCAGATCTCTTTGGCTCCCTTTCCTATACCTTAGTCAACTCCTCACATTTCCCTTGACAGTACTGTATATTATCAACCACATCAGCAGTGCATCCATCTGGTGACTCCATCCTGATCCAGAAAACTGCTCTGCAGACAAGGGCAGTATTAGCTTTACCGGCCCCATCCACTTCCACATACCACCCTCTTGTGTTTGGATTGTCCTTCTCCACCTCTACCACATCCATGACATCCCTCCTTAACTCCCATCTGCCTGTAATGCTCCTCCTCTTCCAACCCTTTCCCTCACCTATCTGCAAAGCTCTAGGGCCCCTGGTTACCATCTCTACATGGACAGGGAAACCAGAAGCTGGAGGTGAAGTACAACTTCTCAAGTGGAGAACTGAACAGCGTAGAAATTTTGATGTTTGAAGAGCCTACAGGACTCAGATGACTGTGGACAGGGAACTGGGGATGGTCGTCTGCTTGGTGGGCCAGGTGTACATGTACGTGATGTAGAAGAGTGACAGAGTTACAATTTTGTGTTTGGAAGTAGGTATTTAAAATCTGGAGGATATTCTTTATCAGATTAGAACAATTTCAAAACAGATTACATTTTAGACCTAAACAGTTTGATACGGTCCCTTTAACATACTTTCTAGTAACATACATTACTTATAAAAAAGCATTAATACTTTGTTTTATTTCATTAAAGACATTAGAACAAAGCAACTTACCAAGGTTGTTGTCTGTTAACACCTCTTTAACCCTCTTCGTAATGCCATATGTGTCCAATTCAGGAGAGACAGCAACCAGTTCTTGAATGCTAAGTGCTGAATGGCCCGAGAGAGGCAAAGGTGTTGTCGACTGGGATTCAGAAACAGGTGGCTCACTTGATTCTTGTGGTTTGCCATCTTTACTTGTCTCTATAGCAGGACAGGGTTGCTGTACCAATTCAGTCAGACTCTTTACTGATTCACTGGAACTCATGGGAGACTCAGGAGCAGGACTGCAACTGGCAGAGGTCTTTGGAGTGCTTTCTGTAATTAAAAAAGGAGAAAAACTGACTATAGCATAATTATCTTGCAATCAAAGCATTACAACTACCTTCCTTCTCGTTTATATTCTACATACTTTAACAAATGCCCAGGTATGCAAAAAGTACAGCAAAATGCTGCTTTTAAGGGCTAGGCTACTGAAAGGTTTCATTTTAAAACTACATTATTTTGTAATTTTACTATTTGATTCATCTCTGTTTTTTCAGAGAGGCAGGATATATAAGTGCAACAGAAAAATAAAACTAATAATTAATTAAGGTTCAATATTGTGGAGGGCTGCAAGAAACTCACTTGGCTATAAGATTTCAAGGTATTGTCTTCTGTGTCGTTTTCTTACAAAATATTGGTGTGTCAATTATTATAGAGGAATATACTTCATAAGTAAACATGGTGTTTGAATGCAATCACAATAAAATGGGGGTATTGAAAACAATAAAAGTCTTAACAATAAAAGCTTTTACCATACTGTATTTAGGGAAGTCTTCCTGACACATTCACAAAAACTGCTCTCTCAACCAAAGTAATTGAATTTTTTTAATAGTTTATGAAAGATGCAAAAGAGACAGACATAAAAGGAGAGCAAGTTCTATATAAATCTTTAAGGCAGTAAGAGTCCTACAAATCTAATTTCTTCTCTCTGCTCACCCCCGACTCGTCATACAATAGAATATAAAACCCAGCAAATGTTATTTTTGTATCAGGAACAGCAAAGGAATTGTACTGTAAATTTGCCCCGATTCACCCATGCGAGGGACCAATCTGGCAGATCATCCATCTTGTTCACTGTACACTGTCAGGGATGGCATGAATTCCCTACATGATAAACAGATTTCTTCTCAGGTCTGTGTCCTTTAACCCACATCAAGGTCAAAATTATGGCTGCCTGGCTAATAAACTGCACAGCAATGGTTCAAGTTCCTTCTAATTTTGTCCCTTGTGCCACTTAAACAAATCTTAGTAAATAAGTAGAGCAGCTGCAAATTTCCTATGCAATTTTCCATACATGTACTGCAAACCACACATATACAGTACAGTAAAAACCAAAACACCTCACAGAGGACTAAACAAAAGCATTCACCAGTGTCTGTTTTTTCAGCCTGCCACTGCAGACATCAAAGGTAAAACAACATATCTCTCGCCTATCACTGAAATGTAGTATGTTGTTGACAGAGTGGATTAGTTACATTTTTTTTGTTTATTTTTACATATCAACAGCCTCCTGGGATTTTGTTTTTAAGAGCAACCAACCTTTTTATTTACTCAAAAAGGTAAGAATATCTGAATCTGATTTTGGAATGCAACACAAAGGAAAACAACTGGTCTATTCTAGGAGCACTCAGTGTATCGTGATTTCAAACTACGTATGATACACACACACACACACGTCCGCACACACCATAGATTTTTAGATCATCTAAAACAGGTATGACTTTTGTATGCACACCCCTTCTAAGATCATCATTACACTATATGCTGAGAAAAATAACGAAAGGTTGAAGGATCAGGTACACAGCTTTTTAGTGCAACATTAGAGATGAGAAATCAAGTACTCTAAAGCCGGAGTCTGCCTGTGCAGGGTTGTGTCAGCTGCAGGGGTGCTGGAAGAATTTGTACAGTGGGAGTGCTGAGAGCCACTGACCAAACTGCAAACCCTGTACATGACGGAAACCATTACTAGCTAAGGGGGGCGGCAGCCCCCCTAGTTCCAGCACCTATGGTCAGCTGAGCAGTATGTTTCCAAGAAGGCGGCCTGCCTTCTTGTACTGTAGAATATAAGCTTTTACATAACCTCGCACATTCACCCCACAAAAAACTGTCTATTCTTTATATGGCTGTTTTCAAATGTGAATTGAATATAATCAGTGAAATGATAGCGGCTGAACGTGCAGACAACCAGAATCATTTGAGAAGAGTGATCAGACCCCCTTCATCACTGAAGCTTACAGATGACAGTTGAGATGTCGACATTGTTAACTACCTCACAGTTGATCAAAACAGCCAAGAAAAGAGAGAAACGATCACATTACAAAGATCTGCACAGTTAATCTGGGTCGCATCTGATGCAGCTGGAGCGTGGCTTGTGGAACCAAGCTTGGGAGGTCCCACTATTCTCCTTGCATATAAACTGTTCATAAATTAGGAAATTCCAAAAGTTAAGGTTTCTACTGCAACCAAGAGTGTGGGATAAGAACATATAAAGCTAAATAAATAAATAAATGTAAAATAAGTCAACATTGCCCATCTGCTTTCTATTTTTGTTTTCTTTCTTAAATGTGAATTAATTATATTATTTTTATAACATAAAAAATTGAAAGCTATCCAATATGGTTGTGTTAATGCTGCAGAAAAATACCTACATTTCGGAATTTCCTGACCAGTGATAGTTTGATTGCTCAATCGTAATGCTGATATTTATATTTAATTCCTGTGATTTAAGAAAAAAATAAATACTGCAAAATTGCATTCCACTCTGAATTGAGAGAATACGACTTGACTCTGGTTGAGCACACTGCAAAGCTGGCTGAGAACCATATATCAACCTCCTCATTATTACATGAACCACAGATTTATGTTCTGTGGTTGTGCATTCCCTATTGCAGTGGATGAAGCCACAACATGCTGAAAAGTGGGTATTTTTCAATCCAACCTTCTCTATGCATTCCTTTCCCTTTTTCTCATCACCAAAGTTCTATAGCAAACCACAGAGTCTGAAGCACTGCTCAGAGCTCTTGCTTTCATTCATCAGTTTTGGTTGTACATTCTACTGGACCTAGTAATGGATTTTTCTGTTCTTCTCTCCCGACTGCTGGATTTTCTGACCCTCGGCAATGTCAGTCTGCCATTTTTCTGTACAGAACTCTACCACATTCTCCAATCCTAAGGTGATAACAGTTCTGAAAAGCTTATTTAATGCATTTCCTCCAGTGTGAGAGTCACTTTCTTCTGGAATTTGAATGTGATACTTAAAAAGTTGGTGGAACAATCAGTATGTCTAAATCAGTAGTTTTCAACCAGGAGCCCACAGACTATGGCTAAGATTTCCAAAGAGGTTTGCACCTCCATTTGTTAAGGGTCAGCACATGAAAAAAAGGTTGAAAATCACTTGTCTAAATGAATTAGATGATGTATAAATTCCTGCTATGATTGAGTGAGGATTTTGGTACTAATGTGTTGGAGTGCATTCCACCAGATCCAAGACAGCCGCTACTGCATATCTCTGGAATGTCCTACCTTCATATAGTATTACTCTGTGGATCTAATTCATAGGTCAGATGCTGCATTTGAAAGAACATTTCTGCAATATCTTTTTAGTTGAGAGTCCCTGTTTGGTCAGGGATTGGGTCTACTTGTTCATCACCTAAAGTGGGGAATGACAGAGGCAATGGTCGGAAATGAGAACTACAGCCACTTACAAAGAACCACCACAGCTAGTACAGATGATTGCTATGTTGAATCACATTATCCTTCCCCACAGTTTCTGAATATTACAATGGATTCTGATTTAGTGGAAGGAACTGAGTGTCAGGTGGATCTGTGTTGGGCACACACACAGAGATATATGTCCAATGGATACTCTCAACAACAACGTCCTGAGCATCAGCACCAAATGTATACATTCTTCATGGACAGTGTTATATGAGATATCAATGACTATCATGAATGATTAGAAGATACTATTACAGCCAAACTTTGATTATTTGAATCTCAATTAACTAAACTAAACTTCCCATTCCTCCAAAGGTCAGATGTACCATTTTAAGACGGAGTGGATGATTGGGGGAGCCAGCCCAGCAAGCTCTGAAGTCTCTCCAGAGTCTTATACCCTGAAGTCCTGCTGAACCTGCAGGTTTTAAGTCTCACTTCAGGTAAAAGGACAAGTGGATCTGAATCTTACTTTCACTGCTTTTACATGGGTCTAACTCCATTGAATTCAATGGACTTATTCTGGATTTACAGTGATGTAAAATAAGAATTAGACCTATTGTGCATAAGTCTTCAAAGTTTGCTGAACTCACTCCCACACATTGTCTGAAAATTGTGGGCATGTTTGAAATTTACATAAACCTGGGATTCTCTTGTACCTGCTCAAAGGAAGGATTTCCCTTTTTCTTCGTGTGGACTATGCAGGGGATTATATCCTACAATTGCAGGAGGCTGGATGGGATAATCTAACAGATTTGTGATGTATGTTATTTTGATTCTTTCAACTACAAGTAGCTTTTACAGCAGCACGTCCTCAACTGCCCTAGCTGTGCACTAACACTGCCCAGATCTACAGAAGATAGCAAACAGGAGGTTCATCCTGGAGAGGAACAGAACTAGGTTAGAACAACACAGATACTGGTGTTCAGAGACTTGCAGGTAGTGCTTGACTTGACTAGTTACAAACTCTTTAGAATAGCATGGACTTTAGCATGACTGGATGAGGGGAAAGCAGAGGATGTGTTATTCCTTGACTTTAGCAAAACTTTTGATACGGTCTCCCAAAGTATTCTTGCCGCCAAGTTAAAGAAGTATGGGCTGGATGAATGGACTGTAAGGTGGATAGAAAGCTGGCTAGATCATCAGGCTCAATGGGTAGTGATCAATGGCTCCATGTCTAGTTGGCAGCCGATGGCAGGGATGATTTAGTTGGGAATTGGTCCTGCTTTGAGCAGGGGGTTGGACTAGATTACCTCCAGAGGTCCCTTCCGACCCTGATATTCTATGATTCTATGACTGAGATACTAGGCATGGAAGTATCCCCTCCAAAAGAGGTAAATGGATGATGGTGCAGTGTTAAAACACTAGGTGATGGATGCAACCTTGTCAATCCCAGAAGCATGAAATTCTAGAAGGTGACATATCCTGGTGGGATGTCTACAACATGGCTCCTTAAACAGAATTGTTTGTATTTCTTTTGAGAACTATGGATCCCAGGAAGCACCAAACATTTTGATTCAAGCTACGCTCTAATTTCTACAGGCATGGCAACAAGTAGT